CGTCCTCCAAAAGTCGCACGATGGACGTGCTCCTCACGCACGAACTCCCACGTTTTCCCCATTTTTTTCGCCGTAGACCACACGTAGCAGCCCGTACGTTCGGTTGGGACCTAGGCTGTACAGTGCACTGCGAATTGATCCACTGCGAACGCAAGGTGAAAACGTTGATTAACGGTGGGTTCCTCTGTCTTACATTTAGTTTCGTTACTTTAGGTCCGCAAAGACATTTGACAAAAACCAAGAGGAATGTCCACGCTTTCTTTCTGCTAGAAAAACATGCTCCATCTTTATTTCAACAGTGTTCTTACAAAAATGGCAACATATTTCAGTCTCCCCGCTACGGCCTCGTTCCAGGTGCATATGTGAATAGCTAAATGCACTGAGAACGAGACCGTTTCTGGGAGAGTAAACATGTACATGGATATGAAAATGAATAATTATACCACGTCCATTTAAACGTCACTATCATGAAAACGCGTGCTTCTCACGCCATAAATATACACATTATTCTATGAATAAAAGACTCCATTAACTGACATCGCCATCATAAAAGTGACTCAAGATTAAAAGTCCAGATTTAAGATAAACGCTCAATGACTACTATACAAAAAGATCGTCCCTGCTGCTCGTTAGTGCTTACGTCACCTGACCTAACCTGACGTCATGTCATTTGAATAGTTGAGAGTTATCAAACTATTTCCGTATACGTTCCCAATTCCGTTGGACAGGTATATACTGTTTCTTCTCTTAATGCCTTCACTGGCATAATTTGCGCAGAAAAAAACTTTAACCCCTTCGGCCTATTTCACGGTCAGGAACACCACACTGTGTGTAAAATTTTTTTATCCAATTTTGNGAGAGAGAGAGGGGGGGGGGGTGGACTTGACCGTGGAAACCTAGCCTGAGAGAGAGAGATAGAGGAGAAGAAGAAGTTTAGATATACGCGTGTCTGTTTTTGTTTGTGTGTGTGTGTGAGAGAGAGAAAGAGAGAGAGAGAGAGAGAGAGAGAGAGAGAGAGAGATCCCGTTTTATTATTTTGTTTAAACTTGTAGTTTTCAGTAGCTGCAGAAGGCCACGATTTATAATATGTAAAAAGTAGTTTTTAAATTTATTGTAGTAATATTTAAAGCGGTCTGAAGTTTGTTGTCATGCAATATAGTGCTCCCCTAACAAAACTCTTTATATCAAGAACACTTTTACCAAAATATATTATGAAATTTCTAAAAATGTGTACTTATCTAAAGAGGGAAGAACCAACATCCTATAAATATTTTGAATATCTGACCACTGACCCACACATGGTCCACTTGATCGTGAAGTAGGCGCATGTGAAACAATAATCGATTTCTACACAGCCTGTCTTGTATCATTCGGAGCCCATGCTGCCGTATATATTTTATTCTCAGCTCATGTATCTAAAGCCGAAACCCAAGTCATCGGATCAGACTGCTGGCGAAGCAGTCATCCATTCAATCTTTTAAATAAAAGACAAGACACAATGATAGGGAAAATGGAAGAAACAAACTGCAAGTACAGTTTACCTGAAAATTTCTCAACCAGGATCTCAAACACAATCCAGGTGTGACAGGAATATCAGTTCGTTCCACATTACTTCGCACAAGTGTAATTCATACCATATTTTGACCCCGATACTACCGGCTAACACTAACCTGGACTAACCATATGGGGCCCCAGACTGCCATTCCTTTGAGAATTATTCCTGGCACACATGGCATGTTCAAGAGCAAATCTCATAACAATGCGTTAGTTGTGACACCAAGAAAAAGAACACCTAACACAATTATTGCAAGACCAATGCACTTATTGTTTTAAACTTACAACAATATCAAAGGAGATACTGCCAACACATGCAGAGCTGGCAGAATTCTAAATTGCTAGGAAAAAATCGAATAGGCAGCCTGTTTGGGGAACAAACTCATCGGTATACCATCCAGGACTTCTGAACACGGTATAAAATTTGTTGAATTAACATGAAGAAATACAATACCTGTTTTAACACGTCACTAATTCTACTTACATATAAGGGTTTGAAGCATGGCGGCACAATGGGGAGGGGCGTTGGGGGGGGGGGTTGGAGTATATTTAATTATGAGGAGG